CTCCTTTATATAGCATCATCATGATCTTGGCCAGGTCCATTTCTACGGATGTTATATTTTAACTTAATAGTTTTCCACAAATAGACTTATTTTTATTTGAATACATTTGTTAAAAGCAGCTTGATATTACTTCCATTTGCCTTCCCATTTGGGATAGAATTAACCGTAAAAAAAGAACAAGGAAAACAAAGCAAGTTACTCATTTCCAGGTAGATACTGTGCGCACTGGGATCTGCTTAAAAGGGTGGAAAAACAAATGTTAAAGGGGTGTTCAAAACACACAATCAATTTTTTCTGCTCTGCCAGAACTAAAAGGATTAAAAGAGAATGGAAATGGAAATAACTTTCTCACTGTGAAATTCATTGCTGGTATTGAGGTTCTGTGCTCTAGGCAGCTACTGTACTGGGAAGTGGGAAGGCAGCCATGAACTTCACTTTATTCTCTGAGAGCTTGGTGGAGCGGAAAGACAAGCCCACAAGTGAATATTTCACAGTGCGAGAAGAAGCATCTCAGGGTACCACAGACACCTTAGAGTTCTACTGGCCAACTGAGAGGTTGAGGCATTCCTGTTAGACTTCTCCTGTAGCTCACTATCACTTGGGAATTAGATCCTAATTCTACGGTTTCATTTTATTTCCACTCCATATGTATGGATTGCTTCCCTCTTATTGCTGAGAACAAATGTAATAACCCACTTAGTTTTCTGAGAAACACAATAAAGGAGGTGGAGATTTCTTAGACTGAGCAGAAATGTTCAAGCACAGTGAAAATACCCCATGTGGGTGGTAAAATATTGCCACCCATGAAGATATAGGGGACTGTGGGTCAGGTGTCAGGTTCTTCTCCCAGGCCATATCTAAGTGCTCACATAGGTGAGCGATCATGTCTCATAGCCAGCAGCACGGTGGCCAATATCCCTAGGGAACCAACTCCAGTGTTCCTTTTTATGTGGTTCAGCTTTTATAGTTTGGGGAGATTATAAAGCTCGTTATCGATGAGCAGTGGACTGGGTGTAAAGCAGGAAGTGTATTGTCCTTATGTGTAACCATAGTCACCTTACGGTGGGAGAAGAGAGGATGAGAAGGAAAGAAATGAGTATAGGAGGCAATTGCAGAGCCTTACGAGATTTGGACAGAGCTCAGTGTGAAAAGTGAAGGAGAGATGGTGGGCGGAGGAGCAGTTAAATTTTGAAGGATGAGTAGGAGCTGTGTAGGAAGGGAAGGGCATTGCTTAAGTGGAGGATGGAAGCACCATCTTCAAAGTCATAAAGAACAGGGAACCAGGGTGGATAAGGAAAACTGCAAGTCGTTTGGTGGTTGTAGCCCAGGTTTGAGGGAGTGGCAGAGGAGAGCAAGGATGAGGTTGGACAGCATTCAAAGCAAGGCCAGGAGGGGCTGTCAAGCTGCGCAACGGTTCTAGTTGTTATTTTGAAAGGAATAGAGACTGCTTTGTGCAGGGAAGGGACACGATCAGATTTGGAGGTTAGAAAGGTCATCCTGGAGGAAGGAAAATGATGAGGTCGAGGGGGTGATGGAAGAGGCAGGGTGGATTGGACAGAATACCTTTTGAACCATTTCTAAATATCTTCCTCCTTGTCCTTTTTGTTATCAGTACCCGAAACCAAATAAGGAAATATCCAAAGGCAGGATTCTGTTACATCAAACTCCCACGCTGAAGAAAATAGCTTTCTGAGGCCAAATTCTTTTTTTCCTCTAACCAACCCAATCTAATCTAACACAATCATGTGTGATTCCTCCTGCATCCCAAGGGCATAATGTTCCTCTTTTACAAGTCTTGGAGTATCCATTCATTTATGAGACACAAAAGTGAGCCCACAAGCTGATAGGCTTTCTTCCGCTCCTTCTGTTTTATTCAGCCTATGTTTACTGAGTACTCATTCTGTGCGTGGCATTGGGGTAGTTGCTGAGCAAACAAGTCTGACTGTTAAAGAATTCTCATTAGAAGGGAAGACAGAATAATGTGCAAATAACTACTCAGTAGTGAAGCAAATGTTTAAAAGGTGCTAAAGTGTTATTTCCAAAGGGCCTGGTGCCCAGAGATAGAGACATCTGGGCTGGAAAATGGAGAGATAGTGGGGGTTCCTGGGGAGGGACTGATGAGAAACAACAATGTCAGGTATCAGGGCAGACAGGATTGTCATCAGTTACCTCGAACTAACAGCAGCTCACAGGAGAGACATGCTGTGTTGCCGATATCAGATTCCCTTTCCACACGCCCCATTCCAATTATTTTATAAGCTTTACAGCGTACATTTCTTTGGTACGGCCCTCCATTGCTTATGGGTCCAGTCTTACACGATGTCTACCTGCCACCGGATTCCATCCTTTTTGCAGAGTTCCTATTTGTACTTATAAACATTGTTCTCCACCATTCCATCATTTATTCCTTCAGGGTTTATACGCATATAAATTCCTTCAGGTTTACCACACATATGCCATGATGCAGAGCAATTGCCAGGGTCTAAACAAAAATCAACCTTGATAGAAATGTTAAGTTACATAATTCTAAAGGAATTTCCTTTTTTACAGGACACAGAATGTTGATCGTGTTTTAAAAAGATGAAATAGCAGCCAGCTATATGCCAAGGATCTTTGCAGGAAACCTTGCAATTTATAGAGCTGGTTTTTCCTAACAAGCTTCCCCAGAGGAGAAAGAGAGAGAGAGGAGAGAGAGAGAGAGAGGGAGGGAGGGAGAACAATACATTTCTAAGCTCACACAAGCAGAAAGCAGGATAGTAAGAGAAGAAGCCTTCTTTCTGGTTAAAGATGCTATGGGGGAAGGAAACCAGACAGAAATTCAAGGCAATGAGAAGGACGTTTCTGAAACTGGACCTACCCTGGATGCAGAGTGTGAAGAGAATAAGAAAGGAATAGCAGCTCAAATTTTGAATCTCATTTACTAAGTAAGCATCCAAAACGTTTCCTCAAATATGAAATTAACTATTTTCCTTCAAGCAGCATCCTTTTAACATTCCTGCTGCTGCCCAGAGCCGCTTCTCGGACTTACACAGGTGGCGCTTACACTGGCCACAGGCACTCTTGCCATAGCCATTGCTCATACTCAGATCTGGTCTGGTGGAATATAGGCTGCTTGTTTATTTGTCTGGGAGATGAAACTTATGACCATACTTCAGTGGAATGTTGCCCTGACACAGATTTGGGTAAAGGAAGCAAGCGCCATCAGCAGTCAGAGGAACAGCTGCCGTGGGCAGGGGTTGTTAGACGAACACCCATCCGTGCAAACTGCAAGGGACGCTACCCAGTGAAGTGCTTGTTGGGGGTTCGTTTCCCCTTCCTTATTTCTGTTACTTAGCTTGCAGGTCTTTACTCATAAGTGTAGCAGAGGACGCCTCCCTGAATGAAGTGAATTGCCTCCCACCCTGTGCCAACATAAGCAGATGGTGAGAAGTGGCCATACAGAAACTGGAAGCTCCAGGTTAAGCTGAGAGGTGTGAGCGTTTTGTATGGAGAAGTTCATCCTGTCCTCCAAATTGCTAGCGTACTACTCTACTTTAAATGGCCTATCTGAAGTGTAGATTATGTATATAGTCAGCCTATATACATGTCTCTGGAATATACATGGCTTCCATGGTTTTAATTATTGTCTCATTGGCAAATAATAATAATAATAGATGAATAATTTTATTTCTAGTTTATGTTGGAAAGCATGATTTTCCTCTGGTGTCTTATTATGCTTATGTCAAGGTATATTTAAGTTAAACGACATTGCCTAACTGCAATCAGTGATAGCAAAGCATCAGGTCTGCTGTACCACACAAGGTCAGCTTGCCACCCCCATCCCCAGCTGTGCTGTATGCAATTTATGCAGCCATATGCTGCAACCCTGGTGACATTCCATCGCTGTGTTGAGTGACAAAGGCAGTATTTATCATTGACAGTGTGGCAGTGCCTACTGTGAGCGCTGGAGTGTGACTTCCTGGATTAACTACAAGTAAATTATTTAACTTTCCTGTACCTCATTTTCCTCCTCTGGGAAATGGAGATAATAAGAGTGCCTGCTTCATAGGGCTGCTGTGATAATTAAGTGGGATAATGCATATAAGATACCTGGGACAGGGCTGGCCACACAGACATACCTATGTTTTTAATATTTGCTTGAATGTATTGCTGGTCAAGCATCTGAAATCCAAAATCAAAAATGCTGTAGAATTCAAAGCTTTGTGAGCACCAACATGAAACTCAAAGGAAATACTCATTGGAGCATTTTGGATTTTGGAGTTTCAGATTTGGGATACCCAACCAGTAAGTAGAGTAAATCGCAAATGTTCTAAAACCTGAGAAAATCAGAAATTCAAAACACTTCTGGGTCCCGGGCATTTTGGACGAGGGATACTCAACCTGTAATGAGTGCACATTTTACTATACTTCCTCTTTAATAAACAAGCCAATATTTTTGTAAAACTTTCAATGCCTTCAAGTCAGCAAAGAGTTTATAAAAGATTGCTTGCAGAAGGCAGTAAGCAAGACATGGTACCGTTATCAACATTTTATGCATATTTATTGCCTGTCTCCCAGCACATGAAGGAATGGACTTTTTGAATTGTGTTCACTACTGGGTCCCTATTCCCTAGAACTGCACCTGTCATTTAGCAGATGCTGAATAAATGTTTGTTGCGGGGAAAAGAATACATGGATGTGAGCTCTTTTACCAACCTTTGTAGGTAACTGAAAAGTTATTGTCTGCATCGGCTCACCTCTATATCAACATTAAAATTATTCACATCATATCTACAAGTCTTGGTGGTAGAGAGAAAAGATTGTGAGTGGCTATGGCCTTGAGCTTCGCAGCATTCCTAGGCCAACATTTTTGGCTTTGTAGGGGCAGAAATGTGTGATACTTTCCTCGCCCATCATGTGAGTCACTCCTGTAACAAAAGACAGGTTAACAAGAGAAAAGCATAATGAATGTAATCAAAGTTTTATGTAACATGGGACTCTTCAGAAATGAAGATCCAAAGACCCAGGGAAAACTTTTTTATTCTTAGATTTGACGAAGAATGGACAGCAGTGTAGACATGTGATGGACTGAAGGGTGTAATCTAATGGTGATAGACTAAGCAGGGAGCCCAGCAAGGCCTGACTGTTCAGCTTCTTCTCAACCTCTCTGTAGAGCATTCCTTCCTCCTGGGTATGGGGCCGGGCCCCTCTGGAATGAGGGTCTTCAAGGGAGATGGGGAAAGGCAGAGAGTGACCTTTCTGGGTTTCACAGCTTCCCTTGGAGGAGAGGGGTTCTAGTTTCTGTGACACATCTTGGGAAAGAGGAATTCTGGTTGCCATGACTCACTTCAGGGGAGAAAAACAGGTGGGAGACAGGAGGATGGAAGAAGGTCAAAGAGACCTTGCTTCTGAGACCCTTCCACTGTCCTTCAGCCCATAGTACTCAGCACACCAAGATGCCATACTTTGGGGTACTACGTTCCGAGTCCTGACAGCTTGTACAAAGCCGCTGGCTTGTGAACATGATGTTAGGGCCACTGACCATCCCTGACGGTATGCATTCCCAGAGGGCAGCTTGCTGGTTAGCTTCTTAAACATCAAACGTTTAAGCTGGAGGAGTCTTCTTGTATTAAAACGAAGCAATATGATGAAGTATGGTAGTATTATCCTTTTTGCATATTAATATTTTCTTTTAGCAGCTAAATCTCTCTTCAAAAGCAAGTCTTAAAGACTGGAGATCCAATGATTGACAGTGGTCCCTGCTGTGATGTTCCTGGCAGCCCAGAGTCTCTTGGCGGTTAGCAGGAAAGCTATTGAGGGGCAGGAAGAGCATGTGCTTTGATTCTCACAGATCTCAGTTGCAGCCCTAGCTTAGTTGCCCATTAGCTGTGCTCTGTGGGCAGGTTATTTAACTTCCATGAACCTCAGTTTCTTCATCTGCGAAAAGGGAAAAAACCATGTTACACTTGCAAGCCTGAGCAGCAGCATATCTCATTTTCAGCACATACGTGTAATAAGCCCGTTAATAAAGCAAAGCTTGTATTTCTCTAGATTCAGAAATACTAGTTAGATAATTCTGTAGCTTACCAAGTGGCCTTGTTGCTCACTACAGAAAGAGAAAAAGTCTTCCCTCATGACAAGAATGGATTCGCAGCCAGGTTCTCCCCGAAATGTCCCTGTCTTCAGTGACATTCAGAGAACTTGATATGGACTTTTCAACAACAGTTTCCTGAGTCATTGCCATTGTAGTTCTGGAGCCTCTAACTGCTGAGGAGGTGGAAGAAGGACAAAGGAGCCACAGGACAGATGCTGCCTGTGTGCTGTGATGAAACAGCGAAGCAGGCTTTAGCAGTCTTCATTAGCCACTGCTCAAATACTTCCCGATCAGCACAGTGGCTCTGCTCTCTATGGGGCCAGCACCAATGAGGCGTTATTCCCAGTACAAAAATAGTAATTTTACTTACAAATTATCATACTTTTCCCATGAAAATATCTTGTTTCCCAAGCAGGAGCTTCCCATTTATGTATTTATTTGACTAACATTTATCGAATGCATCTGTGTGTTGCAGGCATGCAGCTGATTCTGATGCATACTTGAGTTTGAGAACCATTGTTACAGTCAATGGATGGTACCAAGGGAGGGAAAAAGCATATTGACAAAACTGTTATATTTTACATAATACAGAGGTATCTGGATATAGATTTGCTACCTCTACTACAATTTGTTTCCACAAGGAATTAAAGTGGTTTATGAGATTATATATATATGTGTGTGCGTATGTATATATGCACTATAGATAGATGGTAGGTAGGTAGATAGATAGATAGATAGAGAGTAAAGGAATAAACATCCAAGGGAAATACAATGATAGTAGAATAAAAATGGAAAAGCAATAAAACCATCATGATTTTGCCATAGCCTTTCCTGATACCCTTCCTGGTATTCAAGCTGGTGATGCATGCACTGCTCTATGTGGAAACATATTCACCTCACGAGAGTAACTCACCCGGATGATTAAAGGCAGTTGTTAAGTATACAGTTTTGTTAATACTGAGACTTGAGAGGAATTTACCAAGTGGCACTGCATTCAGAAGTCACTCTTTGCTGAGACAGGCAACATCTCGACAGTAAAAACCATAGCAAGTATAAATGCCTATTTCATATAGTTCCCTTACATAGGCTAGTGGCTTAACATCTAAAGGCAGTTGAAAGGGCCAGACAAGGAGGTCAGGTTTGTAGCTCTCAGACAACCTGGCCAACATCTGAATAGCGTCATCCAAGATCGTATCAGATGTAGAAATGGAAGGCATTGAAAAAGTAAGAGGAGTACTCACTTTGACAACACATAGGCTAAAATGGGAATCATACAGAGAAGATTAGCACAGTCCCCGAACAAGGATGACATGCAAATTCATGAAGCATTCCATATTTTTAATCCTTAAATTTATAGAACCAATAAAGAGCCTAAACTGCCAAAGCAATGCTAATCAAAAAGAACAAAGCTAGAAGCATCACATTACCTGACTTCAAATTACACTACAAGGCTATAGTAACCAAAATGGCAAGATGCTAGCATAAAAATAGATACTTAGATCCATGGAACAAAAAAAAAAAAAAAACCCCAGAAATGAGCAATATTCAACAAAGTAAACAAAAACATACAGTGAGGAAAGAATACCTTATTCAATAAATGGTACTAAGAAAATTGGATAGCCATGTGCACAATGAAAATTAGACCCCTATTTCTCACCATATACAAAAATTAAAGGCTTACATGTAAGATCTGAAAATATAAAAATTCCAGAAGAAAGCCTAAGAAAAACTCTTCTGGATATTGGCCTAGGCAAAGACTTCATGACTAAGACCTCAAAGATATAAATGAAACAAAAACAAAAAATAAACAAATGGGACTTTAATTCAACTTAAAAACTTCTGAACAGCAAAAGAAATACTCAGACAACCTACTGAATGGGAGGAAATATTTTCAAATTATGCAACTGACAAATGACTAATATCCAGAATATACAAGGAACTCAAGCAACTCAACAATTTCAAAAATTAAATTATCCCATTGAAGAGTGAGCAAAGGACATGAACATTTTTCAGAAGACATACAAGTGGCCCATAAGCATATGAAAGAATGCACAACATCACTAATCATCAGAAAAAATGAAAATTAAAACCACAATGAGATACCATCTTATACCAAAGTGGCTATTATTAAAAAATAAAAAAAAATATTGGCAAGGATATGAAGAAATGAGAAAATGTCTATATACTTTTAGTGGTAATGTAAATTAGTACAACCTCTATGAAAAACTGTATGGAGATTTCTCAAAGAACTAAAAGTAGAATTACCATTTGATCCAGCAATCCCACTACTGGGTATCTACCTAAAGAAAAAGATATAATTATTATCAAAAAGATACCTGTACTCCTGTTTATTGCAGCACTATTCGCAATTGCAAGGTCATGGAGTTAACCTGTGTCCATCAATAGATGAATTTATGATTATGATTTTTTTTTTAGGCAGAATCTCACTCTGTCACCCAGGCTGCAGTGCAATGGCGTGATCTTGGCTCATCGCAGCCTCTGCCTCCTGGGTTCAAGCAATTCTCCTGCCTCAGTCTCCCTAGTAGCTGGGACTACAGGCATGCACCACCATGTCCGGCTAATTTTTTGTATTTTTAGTAGAGACAGGGTTTCACCACGATGGCCGGGATGGTCTTGATCTCTTGACCTCATGATCCGCCTGCCCTGACCTCCAAAAGTGCTGGAAAAACAATTATTTTTTTTTTTTAGATGGAGTTTCACTCTTGTCACCCAGGCTGGAGTGCAGTGGCAATCTTGGCTCACTGAAACCTCCACCTCCTGGGTTCAAGCGATTCTCCTACCTCAGCCTCCTGAGTAGCTGGAATCACAAGCGCCCACCAGCATGCCCAACTAATTTTTGTAGGTTATAGTAGAGATGGGATTTCACCATGTTGGCCAGGTTGGTCTCAAACCCCTTACCTCAGGTGATCCACCCGCCTCAGCCTCCCAAAGTGCTGGAATTATAGGCATGAGCCACCATGCCCAGGCAATGATTGAGTTTTTAAATGTGGTATATATACACCATAAAATACTGCTTAGCCATAAAAATAAATGAAGCCATCTTTTGCAGCAACATAGATGTAACTGGAGGCCATTATCTTAAGTGAAATAACTCAGAAACAGAAAGCCAAATACCACATGTTCTCCCTTATGAGATAAATAATGTGTACATATGGACATAGAGAATGGAATAATAGACATTGGAGACTCAGAAGCATGGGATGGTGGTAAGAGAGGAGAAATTACTTAATGGGTACAATGTACACTTTTTGGGGGATGGCTACACTAAAAGCCCAGCTTTTGCCTCTACACAGTAAAAATAAACATATATATAAAGCCAGAGGTGAAATGAAGTGGTTAGATTTGAACAAAATATGGAACAGGCATGGCATACTGCCCTAAAAACCTTGTATTTGAAGAATGTGCTGCTCTCAGCCATCTACACCTCCTATATTGAGATGTTTTATCACTTCTTAAGTCTTGCAGCTTCTAGAGTTCTTTTTCAAAAGCCTTTTACTTGGTGCATTACGTATGCACCATGTACTGTACAATCCAGCACTTGATTAGATTCTGACTTGTATTGTTTGCTGATTGTTCACATTTATGTGATTTATTTTCTTAACTAGATTGTAAATTAGATGAGGCCTATCTTTTCCATGATTCCTTTAGTCAGGGAATATTTTAAGAAGGAGGCTATATTTGTACCTACTCTTCAAGAAGAAATAAGAATTTGTGCAGAGAATGGAAGTGAGTATTTTAGAGAGCATGAAACACAGAGTCATTGGGGAATGTGGCATGGGGAAGAATACCAGAAGCCCAGTGTCACTGGAGCTGAGCTGTGTGGGGTGTGGGGTGGGGAGACAGGGCTGTCTGGCAATGGATGCCAGGAAGCCTCCCACCTTGAGTCACATAGAAAGGCTTAGATTATATTGAGAAAGTGTAGAGGGTCTGAGAAGAATTTAAAGCTAAAGAATGGTATAATCAGGTAAAAAGGTCATATTACAATTCATACTGTTAGCAGTATGAAATAGACGTGTGTGTGTGTGTGTGTGTGTGTGTGTGTGTGTGTGTATAGAGGTGATAAGAACAGTGATTATGGCCTAGCGATTAAGAACATGCGTGTTCAAAATTTAGTAACTGGAGCTGGATATAGTGGCTCATGTAGATAATCCCAGCACTTTGGGAAGCTGAGGTAGGAGCATTGCTTGAGGCCAGGAGCTCGAGACCAGCCTGGGCAATATAATAGTGAGACCTCCGTCTCTATAAAAAATGAAAAAAAATTGGCCAGGCATGGTGGCACATTCCTGTAGTCCTTGCTGTGCAGGTGGATTGCGTAAGCCCATGAGTTATGAGTTCCAGCTATGATCCTGGGCATCAGAGCGAGATCTTGTCTCTAAAACAAAAATTTTTAATTACCGAATATATTATCTCAGACAAGTCATTTCCTCTTTAAAAGTCTGTTTTCTCATCCAGAGACTAATCCCTACCATATTGGGTTGTCTGAGGATGAAACAAGATCATTTAAAGTGGACAACATGTGCCTGGTATATAGTTATGAGTCCTAGCAGCAGAGGCCGTTCATTTTTATTCACTTGATATTTGTTGATTACTACTTTGTTTTTTCAACCAAGTCTAGATGAGAAATAATGAGTAGACTCGAGGGCTTAGGACAGCTGGAACAGACACAGGAGACCCATGATACTATTCCTAATCAGCTTTGGGATTAGCGCTGAGGGTGGACACTGGAAATTTGCCCTGGCACCAGTCCCATCCCCAGCGACACTCAGCAGCCTCTGTGTGAAAGGACAGAGGGATAGTGGCATCAGTCCTTGGTGCCTATTGTCCACAGTGAGTGAGGTAGAAGAATTAGAGCAAGAAACCTGAGGGGACAAATGAATGTTTGACCTGCTGTCTCTTCTAGGCTGGCAAGGGAGGAAGTGAAGACCACCAAAGATGGATAGAATGGGAGATCAGGGCAGAGCTGAGGAACCAGTGAATGGAATAAAATATTATGAGACCCATCAGAGGGCAGGGAAAGTGGGAACAAGGGAATGAGAAAACGTGTGAGACAGGAAGTTGAAGGTGTAATCTTAAGAATCTTCAATCTTGCTACAGTGCCCAGTGCACTGCTCATAATACTAGCTATTCAATAAATAGTTGCTGAATTAAAGTCATATGTATTGATTTGATTTGACTTCATGCCAGTACAGTCAAAGACTATTTGGCTGATGCCTTACAGGTCAACACCCTTATCTGCCAAAACTTAAATCCAGAAATAAGCTGGTACAGTAGTGCACATCTGTAATTCTAGCACTTCGGGAGGCTGAGATGAGAGGGTTGCTTGTGCCCAGGCGTTCAAGTCTGCAGTGACCCATGATTATGCCAGTGCACTCCAACCTGGGTGACGAGAGTGAGACCCTGTCCCTAAAAAAGATAAAATTTAATACAAACAAAAATACTTTAATTCAGAAACAATGAATGTCATCATACTTCCTTCTCTATCACAGCAAAAAAAATGTTTCAGAAAGTTGACTGAATGTGGATTTGTTTGTTTAAAATTTAAGACTGGGTGTAGGATTCTGAAGGACAATAAAATCCAGTTCCAAAATGAAAAAAGTTAAAAGGGTCAGATTGCTAGATGTGTGAAGAGTCAGACTAAGGCACTTTACAAATGATGGGAAGATGGAAGCAGAAGGAAAGGGCAGTGTTTGAGGAATTACAAATCTAATTCCCATTAACAGCAACTATTGCAGAGGCCAGGGCAGGCCAAGCCCACTGGAGGAAAAAGACTCCGTAAGGTGTTAAAAATAGCTGATTACAGAGACTGTCCTTCTCCTCACCTCTTCTATGGTATCTGACCACCCCTCTCTCACACAGGCAGGCACTGATAACAGTTTTCAAAGAGTGAATGTATAATCTAAATTAGCGTGCATAGTGTATCCAAGCCAATAAATACTTAAATGGGTATAAAACTGTATGAGGATAACTTAGCCAGCTCCGATGGGGCCGCTTCAGAGACTGACTCACATTGGCCTCCCTCAGATGTAGACCACAGAGGCGGAGGTTCTGTATGCTTGCAGTTACCCGCTGGGCAGGAAGGTTCGCTTTACTTGAATGAGTAAGCTTTAGTGGGCCTGCCCTGGTTCTGCTGCAGATGACCACAGAGTCTGCACCCTCTGGGCAGGGAATCGGGCCTGATTAGACCTACAAGGCCATTAGGCAGCTTCTTTCTGTTTCTTTCCCTGGGCTCCATGGACTCTGGACTGGCTCCTCTCCTCCCTCCACACCCACTCCCTCTGCAGGGTCCTTGGCTAATGCTGCTCCACAGTTCAGAAGCATC